CCAATATTCAAACTCCAGTAATTCAATAGTAGATAAAAAAAACCTTTACCTGGCCGACCACTCCTTTCAGGTGTTCACACTCACTGTGTGATTTCTGTCGAGCTTCTCTTTCCATCACAAAGTCTCTTTCATAAATGGAGGCCTGGAAGGTTTATATTGAATGGTTTTTATACACGAAGCAACAAAATTTCATTACGCTACAAATGCTCAGAAACTGTAGCCTAGTGGTTCTCCACCTTTTTCTTTCGGGGCACTAAAAACTCTGTTGACTCATTAACTTTCTCATGCAAGGAAAAACTACAAGAAAACCAAAAATTATTTTCTCAAAGAAACACTTCATTATTCATTGCTACTGCAATCAAAGTTTATCAATATTCAATAGGTTTTTGGTCCATCTGAAAATGTTTCAGTGGCAGAAGAATCTTGACCCACTGGTTGAGAACCGGTGCTGTAGCCCAAAACTCCAAAAAAATTGGATATTTAAACAACGAGTTGGTTCGTTTTAAATTTTTCCTCTATGACGTTGTCATATCTATGTTGTAAATATCTCAATCTCACACTTCACAGACTTTTAATCAGAATTTATCCCGGTTTGACTTGAACAGGCGACACGCATTGCCTTAATTTTAACATTCATGTATTATTTTAACACACTGTATGGAGTAAAATGATCGGCACGTTTTTTTACCTCCTCTGTGGAGGACATAACATATTCAACATCCAATGTTGACCAACAACAAGCAAGTCCGCCAAGCATACTCAGATTATAAAACTTAAAAAAGATGAAAATCAAACCTGCTGCCTATAAACACTTATTTGTGATTCAGATTCATCCATTCTCTTCTTCAATGTCGTAATTTCTTCATTTTTACGTTTCAGAGATTCTTCAGCACATAAGTATTGAGCGTATGCTTTGTCAAGCTTCTCAGACTGTAATCCAGATTGCTGAAAAGTAAAAGTCTAGTTTTTCAAAAATATAAAATATTCGGCACTCCAGAAATATGTGAACCGAGATGGCACACCGGAATGTAGTATGTGTACCAGATTAGGGTTAGGCTATATTTCAGGTACAAATATCACAGGAGTCACGTGGCTAGTCCCCGAACTCATAATAGATCTAAAATATGGGAAATTGAAATAAAATTATGGCCTAACTCTAACGTGGTACACATACTACGTCCCGGTGTCCGCCATCTTGGTGCACATACTTCTGGAGCGCCAAATATTCTTGTGTGAAACCGAGCAAAATGAGAAGTCGTTTGGATAATGCGGATAGACTGCCACCATTGGGCATTTCGAATCGATTTAGACGAAAATTTCGAATTACCATCAGCTCCTTTTTTTAGTCCGTCGAAGGTCGGTGTGAATACCTCAATTTTTTATTGTAGCCCTCTTTTAAAATGCGATTCCGACATATGACTTAATTCTTCCTAGTGAGTTTACTATGAAACCTTTTTCTTATTGTATGTGATCACTCAGCAAACTTTCTCAGTGATGGATTTTAATTACAGTAATTTATGTGCTTGGAGGATCCGTTACAGTAAGAAAGACAAATACCATTACATATCTTTCAAGTTTTTGAGATTCGATTAAAAAAAAAATTCTAGATGCTGGAATCATCTGGTATTCGGAAACGCCCAGCCCTTATGACTGCATTGAGCAAGCTGGCGACAATTACTCACACTTTTTTCTCTAAACAGGGCACGGTGCAAGCAGCATTGATATTGAATGATATGTAAGGTATTGCTATTTTTGGAAAAATTGGAATCTTCTGGCAAAACCTTGGGCAAGGTGTTGGGTAAGAATGGTATTAGAACCAAGATGTGTAACCGTTGTTGATAACACAGTTAGGTCTAACGCTCAGCGATGTTGCGCATTGTGCTAAGCGTTAGGAATACGCTCACCATCGCACCTCTGATTACCCTGCAAGAGTTCGATGTTCGAATCCCATGCGAGATATTTATGTGCGAGATGATTGCTGGTCTCTGTGCCACCGTATGGTGGTTCATGTAACCGCTGATCGGTTACGGATTCCTCCACCATCAGTCCTCCGCAACCGCAAGGCTATCCCACCTGACAAAGTCAATCGAAATATTGCAAAAACTAGTTCCAACCTCATTTAATAACTGCTGTTCCAGTTGTTGTTTAAGTTCTCTCTCTTTATTATATTCCTCAAACAGTTCATCCAAACTTTTCTCTTTTTCATCTTTCTGTTGTTTCATATCTTCAAATTGCTGCTTCCATCTGATCATTTCTTCCTGTAATATTGAAAAAAAAAAAACGAAAAAAATTTGAAGCCATTTTTACCAAAAGTTACCAAAAAGCGTTAAAAATTGTACTTATAGAAATTGGAATCGTCAGAAATAGAGCATTTTAATAGAAGGATCTTTCATATTGATAAGAGTTTAAAAAGTTGAAACCCCTGCTCTGTAAATGAGGCTCTCGACAAGTGGTCACTAATATGTACCAGTCCAGGAATAAAACCAAGTAACTTTATCAAATATTAGGGCACCACAGAGGCCTGACAATATTTTGAAAAAGGCTGCCGATCTATACATCCAAACTTCCAAATAGCTTCGGCAGTTCTTTCAGATATTATCAAATAACTGTTTAAAGACATAAATTGATAGAAATAAAATTATCCTATTTTACAAGAATTGAATGAAGAAATATAAATTGAAGGAATAATTTCAGCTACCATTATTTATTTCATAGAAATATGGAATTCAACTAAATAATGTTGAATGGCACTAGGTATGACTTACTTTCAAAATCGATACAAAAAGAATTGTCGTTACAGTTGTCATTTCACATGGAATTAAATAGTGGTTTGATAGGTTGGGTTTGGTATTTAAAATCCGACAAAATCAGTTCTTCTAAAAGCACTGCTATATGTCAGGCTGGCCTTGTTGAACGATGTTAATAAACTAAATTATACAAATTAAAAACTCACACTGAGCGCCCTCTTTTGGTCTTTCAATGATTCAAGATCTTTGCTCAGTTGATAAACTCTGCTTTCTTTGCTTTCAAAACTGAAAAATTTAAATTTACAATAAGAAGGATTGAAATTTAATATTTATTTTGGGTGCACAATAGGACAACTGGCAAACTACAGCCTCTAGTCCAAATACCTGTTAACGAAAACCACTTTGAAAAATAAGCAGGAACCGTCCAACGACAGTAACTACTCACATATCACAAAATATCAATGACTACTCACGCCTACAGGGCATTGTTCCGAGTGGAAGGCTTCTTCCGCCATCAAGTCCATGCATCTGGAACAAGTAACTGACTAATCCCATACCTGATATGGAGTAGAAGGCTGTGGTTGGCCATATGGTTAAGATTCCATCTCCCTGGGCATGGTTAAATTTATCCTGACTGAAAAACCCTGGTAAAATACCAAAAACAACAACTTACTCCGAGCGATATTTCGAAATCACAGAATCTTTATTGGACATTGACTTTTCATTATCCTTCAATTCAGCAATAAGTTGGGTAACTTGAGTCTTTAGTGTGAGATTATCTCTCTAAAAATAAATTTTATTTCAACATTACGGAAACCTTATTGATAATCTTAAGATAATAAGAGAGTCTGCACAAACCACAGTAATATTATGGCGCTCCAGAAGTGTGTGTACCAATCTGGAGGTAACTAACTTTGTTTTCCTAATTTACATCAAGTTGTGTAAAGGGACTAAAATCTATGTGCAGGGGGTATATTCACTTGGCTAACACAGACAGTCCCGGAACTTGTAGTAGAACTAAAATATGGAAAATTGAAATAAAATAAAGACCTAACCTGGTACACACACTACGGGAATATCAGTATTTCTATGTACGGTATATTGCGCCACCGTTTTGCTATACCAGTACGCTATCTTTTCGCCATTTGCGGTGTCCGCTGATCAGCCAAGGGTCTTCCATTAACGGTGTGAATTGCCGAGGTAATGGGACTTGGTTTCCAATTTTGATATGAAGCTTTCAAATGATCAAACAGCAGATTTCAGTGTCACAAAGGTACTGTTGCCAGTGCTTGGGGACCTTCACATCCATATATGCTCTTTTGTGTATTGAGCTTTCACAAAATTTGTCCACATGAATTGGATTCTCTGGTTGGTTGTAAACTCCCAAGTCTATGTTCGTAAGTAATTCAAACCAAAATTAGTGAAAATTCACCTCTTTTTCAAGAACCAATGCATTCTGTTCCATTTTCACTTCTTCCACTCTATAATATAAAACGAGCAGATATAGCAAAATTATTACTGATGCTTCAATAGATTCAATAGACAAGCAACAACAAAGGAAGACTTGGGACAAAATAAGTAGTCTTAATTACTGTCTGAAAATGCAGCACTTCGAACAATGAAGCAACTGGATCTGATGGCCTGATGGTGGAAACATTGGCATCAAAATGTCGTCCTCAAATTTCATGCCCACCATCTCAACAGCAATAATGAATTACCGGTAGGCAAATTTTACTTTTTCAAAAATACAGTAGCTCATTATTTATCAGTCGTTGCTCGAACACCTTTTGTTTCATTCAAAGCAAAGGTTTTAGGAATTACTGATGAGGCCCAAAAATGTTCATATTTATCTGTTTTTCTCTGTTTCAAGCTACTTTCCTGTTTTGGGCTATTTGCTGTATTTCGCTCTGATACAAGTAATTCATAAGGTCATACTGAGCACTGTAAAATATATCGCTATTATAGAGACTACTCACCTAGCATTCAACTGATATCCAACTTGCTTGATTGCCTGTTGGTACTGTTCTGTGAAAGTCTGTTCTCGAAGCTGGAAAACAGACATAAATGACAAAATTAATGACAAAATATATATAACAGCAGTAAACCTATGACCAAAAGTTTTGGAGCTCCAGAAGTATGTGTACCAATATGTGGGTGACTAATTTTATTCATCTACCTTACATCAAGTTGTGTAATAGGACTGAAAACTATTGGCAGTGGGTATATTCACTTTGCTAACAGAGACAGACAGCCCCGAACTCGTAATAGAACTAAAGTAAGGAAAATCCGAATAAAATTATGGCCTAACCCTAACTTGGTATACACACTACAGGAGTACCCTTGAGTTTACATGTGTTTTGACTTTTCATCAAATATTTGGGCTCTGACTAGCATTTGACCTGAACACTTTCAATAACTCACATCCCATTGTTCTTTCCAAATTGCAGCTTTATCTTGAAAATCTTCCCTCATTTTTTCTTTCTCTTCATCTGCTTTCTAAAATATCATTTTTAAATCATTTCACATTCAAAAAGCAAATAAGTGAAAAGAGCATTATTAAATAAAAAAATTGTTACAATACTGCGATTTATCTTCAGAGTAATCATAAAGTAAATATGATATGCACTCTTTTGAAAATGGAAAGGCATCATTACTCAATAAATGTGGGATTTATATGACTATTTGATTTTTTAATTTCAGAATCGAAATTAGGCCTGTTTTTGTCTGATTGTCAAACTCTCAAAATTAATTCCAAAATCAGGACAAAAATAGTGAATATGAATAATTTTTAATGTATTCAAACTGGGATGTGAAAAAATTTTCCAAATTTATCCGAGGGAGAGAAAAGCTGATAGGCCCTAATCACATCCTCTCAAGCAGATACCAGTCTATGATAGGTAGGGGAATATTCAACAAGATATTTGCTTCAGATGCATGAGTAACCAGATACCAGCTTATGTCAGGTATGGTAATATATAACAAGATATTTGTTTCAGATGCATGGGCATCCAATTCATCTTAGAAATCTATAATTACCACAAGCCTATATTCCTACAACCTTTAATTGATGAGTGAGAGCATTAACTGCATCATCGTATTCTTCTTTAATATTTTCTTCTTCAACGTCTCCTCCTCCATTCATTTCCGTAGTTTCGTTGCTAAAAACAAGAAAACAGAGCTTTAACAGCCGGTAACCGATACTACATTAGTCAAGTCAAGTTTATTTTTTTCAACCAGTAATGTCAACAACAATTGAACACAAATCATGAGAAAATGATAATTACACATTTTACCGGGGAAGGAAAGTCACGGGGAACCAAAGCTGGTTATCGAACAGCGACACCCGAGGTTCAAATATCTAATTTGAAAAAATTAAAATTTCAGAGTTTGGAATCTACTGTCTTTGACGCTGTCTCTCCACATTACATTACATTATAGATGTAAAGTGCAGCGATAATGTGACATAAAACTAAAATGATGAAGTTTAAACATTGTGGGATGATCCCTCTTATATGCAAAGCAGTGTCTGGGTCATTGACACAAGTCACCATTTTTCAAAGAATTGAGTGACTCGAATTATTGAAATGAAATGGGATTACAGGCTTCTACCGTGAGTGTGTGAGCGTGTGTGAATTAATGTAATAATTTTAGGTGAGTGAACACGTACCATTTCTTGGCAAAACATTCTATCTTATCGTATATTCTGTACACCTTAAACCTTATTTAATGTTTTGTTTGCTTTCCTGATTTCATAATCAGTTTATATTTATTTGTTTTTATCAATCATTTTATCGCCTGTTAATTAAGCTGATTATGGAGTCGAAATTGTTAAGAAGATAACATGATCCAAATTAAAGAACGGTGAAGCTACACTCTATCTTTTTGTAATGCTAAAAAAAAATGCTAACACATAGACCCAAGCAACCCAATTGAAATATTATGAACTTAGGCGCAAAAACAATTTTATATTCCTAAAATTTGATTAGTTTCGAATCATTTGAAAAACTTTTGTGACAAAATCATTCAACCACCAGATTTATTTTCACTCATCTTTGCATTATATATAATTTAACCCTGTAATTTTAAAGTTTGTTGAAAAAAAATTATACAGACAACCCCGGGAACAAAATAACAGGCATGAGAACATTTTTATCAAATAACTTACATATTCAATCCTCCCAATTCTCTTGTTAATTTATTTCGCCTTAATTCTTCTTTCAAACTTATTTTATCAGCTTTGAGAAAAGCAATTTCTTTTTGTTGATCATTGATCTTGGCCTGGGAAAGCTGAAACAATAGAAAGCGGTGGATAGCAATATTATGCCAAAGAAACTCGAATACATTTATATTTTTATGACCTTAACTTCCCCGATTACACAGCCTTGCTTTTCACAAATGAAAATCGAAAGCTCAAACATCATTAAATATTGACAAATATTGATATGTCATACTTTATTCTTCTTAAAGGTCATGTGAACTCAAAATGTGAAATAAAAAAAAATGATCTCTAAGTTAGTTTACAAAACACAGGAGAGATTGTAGCACTGAACCACAGCTAGTAATTACCATTTGAATAGAGACTTGATGCAAATAATACAATAATTATCTGACATTTCACCGAACTCTAAAAAAGCAGCAAGAATTATAACGTCATGGTGCAGCATTATCTAAAGCTTATACAAACCTCATGATGCTGCCTAATATGTTGAGAAGACAATTTAATTCTTTTATAGAATTCTAACAATTGATTATATTTTCGTGTGGAGCTGTAGGATGTTTCCCTGCAATAATAAGAATTATGTATAACATAATAAAAAATAACATTGAATTGCATGCAACTGTTTACCGTAGTGGGCCAAAATGTGAAATCAGGCTGACGATGGCGACTATCGAACACCTCATTAGTTATCATAACAAGTAGTGTTTTTTTCATATACCGGTAATAGTGTCACACTGCTAATGACACTGGTGATTTAGAAAATTAAACAAATGACATCATGATTGTGTGAAATGAAATGTTATTTCTTTAACAAAGTAATTGCCACATTGCTTCCTCTCATCTAAACTAGATGATAAAAAGTTCACTTAGAAAGTGGCATAATTAATAACTTGAGCATAATATAATGAAGTGACCAATCTTATTACTATTCAAGCATAGTACACTCAATTGTGGAGAACAAGGTAAACAGTGACTTCGATATAGCTTCGACCGTTTCAACCCAGTGCTTTTAAAGAACTATCCGGTATTCCAAGCGTAGCCTATAGATCGAACCACCGTGGCCGAAACATCTGTATAGCCTACCGCTCAGAATAATAAGCATCAAGTATGTAACGCAAAGACATTTTGACTTTCCAAAATGAGATTAAAGAAAAATATGAACCTCAGGCACAATATTAATAAATATATCTTTATCAAAAACATACCTCAGAGTGTTTTGCATGGATTTGTTATTTTCTATCAATTCCTGAACTTTATTTGGTCCAACCGATTGTTCTTCTGATGGATACAGCTCTGATTCAATGCCAGACTGACAAAAATATAACAGATTCAATATTATTAAACTATTTCAGAATGGTGGAATTACAGAATTACATGCAAGTTTTGGTAAAAAGTGAAAGAGTTCTAAATATTGACATCCATTCAGTAATATTGACTCATCACATAGATCAATTATAATAGTTTTTTTTTATAATAGTAATGCAACATTGAACATAACAACATTAATGCAGCGTCTGAGAAGTTTAAAGTTATTACAGTACAGCTATTACAGTATACAGTTATAAGCGGTCATTGAAAAATGAATAATTTTGGTGACTTACAGTTCGTGTTATAGAAAATATTTCTTGAAATGAAAATAAAATTGCTCCCTAATCCTGTAATTACTATACCGAGATTCTTATCATATATATTAATTTTATTTTCTTATAGTATTGTGATTTTTAATATGCAACTCAGATATTTTATTTTGCAGAAACTATTTCAATTTTTCTAATAGAAATTTTTTACACAAAACCAAAGTTACCAAATTGATAATAAATACCTGTTCATAGATCGAAAGATCTTCAGGATCCATGATTCAAAATAATAATTACCGGTATTATATCCCAGTTATGCAGTTCTAGGAACTAGGAAGACAGCCAAAAATTGTATTTTAAACAAGAAGTTGATAAATCCAGAAATCTAATAACTGAATAATACAAAGCGGCGCGGCGGTGTGGCTCAACGGGCTAAGTGTTTGGAATACGCTCGCCACCGCACCTCTAATTACTCTGCATGGGTTCGCAGGTTCGAATCCCATGCAGGGATGGTTATGTGCGAGAGGATTGCTGGACTCCTCGCCGTCCTTGGGTGGTTCACGTAACCGCTGGTCGGTTACGGCTTCCTCCACCACCAAGTCCATGCTTCCGAAAACAAACAATATAACTAATCCCATACCCGACTTGGAATGGTAACCGGACGAGAGGCCGTGGTTCGCCATATGGATAAGCCGTCTTATCGGCTTTCCTCTCCCCCGGGATAAATATGTAAATCGTATCCTATACTTTTCTGGCTTTTTTACTTAACTATAGTATTACCGTACACTTTCGCTAGCTGAAATGCAGAAATGGGGTATTAGTACCGGTACTGGTTATATATCTTTTTAATTTCACTTCATTCTGTCATCTCAACAACTGAAGAAAGAAAACAATGGCTGAATGAGGATACAAACACATAGAGATATAACATCACCGGAACAAAGTGTCTAGATATTCATAAATTGACACTATACAACATAAGTAAAGCTGCATTAAAACATACGACTGTATGATCAAACTGTCAAAGTTTAAAACTTGCGCAACACGCCATACCGGTACCGGTACCGTGTGCTGCCAGCTCGCCTCGAAAATATTTTTCCATTTATTCGAAAATCGGAAGCTTTCAATCAAAATGCAGAACCTCGGAAGTCGGAGTTATTTTACTTGAGCAATCAAAAAAAATTCAACATTAAAGTTCCTGAATAAAACGGGAATTACGGAAGTTGTGTGGCTTTCCTCTCCCCCGGGATAAACATGTAAATCCTATCCTATCCTTGTGATGGACACAAGGATGAATATATCCCTCCGTCATCACCGTGCTGTGCTGCCAACTCGCAGACTCGCCTTGAAAGTATTTCTCCTTTATTCAATAATCTGACGCCTTCTCTCAATCAAAATGCAGAACCTCAGAAGTCGGAGTTATTTTATTTGTCACTAGAGCAATCAAAAAAAAAAATCAATATTAAGGTTCCTGAATAATATGGGAATGACGGAAGTTGTGAAGGACATATTGCTCCGTCATCAGGTACACAACGCCTTTAGATGAGCAAAAAATAAAAAAATAGAGAACTAACCGATAGAGCAGAACAATAGAAATACATTATTTTTTTAGTGGCTCACTGGCATACTCTAGTGGTGACTGGAAGGGCCACCGTTTGAACCCGATTTGGCTACCGTGTTTCCCCGACTGGGTCTTATTTCAATTTTCTAATAACACCAGGGTTTATTTTCGTGAAATGTCCTATATTATCATTTATCCAAGAATGAAATTGCAATATAGATAATTACGAGGTTTTCAAATTTACAAAGTATGAAAACCGATATCCATTTACTTATAAAGAATGAGTTTTTATTCAAAATAACTGCAAAACATAGATTATCAATCCTTTTAAACGCGTAGAGTAGATTTTTGATATCGACTAGAACAAAAAAAATTTGCGTTATTGACTAGGTCTTATTTAAAGGGGAGAGCTTGTTACTTATCGATCTTGATCGGTAAGTATGTTAATATGTATTTGTCTGTTTGTTTGTCTGCTTGTGTGTTTGTCTGTTAGATACACGCGATATCTCACGAAAGCAAGGCCAAATTTTGCATGTGCATTCATCATATCTCGGATCAGAAGCCTACTGATTTTGGATGAATTATGTCGTATAATTAGCGAGTTATTAACTAATTAGTGATAGAACACGCGGTGTCGTTATAGAGTAAAAGCGAAAGATACACGCCGCCAGATTGATAAGTCGGCGGTCTCTGATCGCTATCTCGTATTGGAATCATTTTCAAAATTCAGGCTAGGTCTTATTTTCAGAGTAGGTCTTATTTTCGGGGAAACTCGGTATTTTTGGAGTTCATTGCTGTCGTTAATTAAAAAAAAACATGTGCAACGACGCAAAATACTTGTAGAATACACGCTGGGAATACAAATTCTAATGTTCCAAAGATTGATTCTTTTTGGCATGATGAACAATTGAGAAGAAATATCCAGAGCAATAGACTCACACCCAAGGGTGTGGCCAGCCCATTCTTTTGTGACGAGGTTTGGCATGGACGTCCACGAGCGTGGATGGTCGGGTGAACAATGTAATAGTAACCTATTCGATATTCAATTACTATTTTCCTGCCACCGATGTCGGAGCATCGGATTATTTAGCTAGGTTAGTATGTCAAAGTGCGTTCTGGTAATGATGCTCACGATGGTTCTATTACATTTGAACCCACGTACATTTGAACCCACGACGATTGCACCGGCATATTATTGCACCTATGGAAATTTTTGTTGTTTTACGGATATTTGAACCCATACTAACCCTAACCCATGGGTTTAGCACCCGCATATAGATTGAACCCGCGAATATACACATGGGTTCAAATGTACGTGGGTTCAAATGTACGGTCACCGCTCACGATGCCTAACTTCAAAAATGATTCGGGTGATAAACAATTTATATATGTTGTTAAACATGGGATGAATGATATACCGGCCGACTAGAAGTAAAATGTTTGTGTTATTTATATATTAAATCACGCAACTAAGCAACAAACTCACATGTATATACGCATAGCAAAATAGTTCTTAAAAGCAGGGAGTTGGTGAAAATATGTCAAAGTTGTACTCAACATAGGGTTCAAATGTACGTGGGTTCAAATGTAATGGAACCATCCTATTCCATGCAGCCTACTCCCTATGTTTTGTGAAGTGAGGAACGCTTCACGACTGTGCGTGCCTCATCCTATGTTGAGTACATCTTTGACATATTTCCACCAACTCCCTGCTTTTAAGAACTATTTTGCTATGCGTATATACATGTGAGTTTGTTGCTTAGTTGCGTGATTTAATATATAAATAACACAAACATTTTACTTCTAGTCGGCCGGTATATCATTCATCCCATGTTTAACAACATATATAAATTGTTTATCACCCGAATCATTTTTGAAGTTAGGCATCGTGAGCGGTGACCGTACATTTGAACCCACGTACATTTGAACCCATGTGTATATTCGCGGGTTCAATCTGGTTCCATTACATTTGAACCCACGTACATTTGAACCCATGGCAATTGCACCTGTATGCTATTGCACCTATGGAATTTTTTTTGTTTTTCGGATAGTTGAACCCACACTAACCCTAACCCATGGGTTTCAGCACCCGCATATAGATTGAACCCGTGGATATACACATGGGTTCAAATGTACGTGGGTTCAAATGTACGGTCACCTATAGGAAGGTGTTTTTCCTGAATGTAACTATTTTCTCGTGATCCGACCTCAATAGGTTATATAATTAAAGGTTATGATTATTACTTGTGGGAACTCAGTTGAACTCCCAAGTGACAATACGTCGACTTACGCATATACGTCGTTCTAGAATCACCGTCGTCCTTTAGCACATTACGTCAGCAACGTCAAGCGGTGCTTATTTATATGCATGAGCAAAGCAATGACATATTATATTACATTCCATTTGGTATCTTAGAAGGATTAGAAAAGAGACAAAATGTATGTAAACTTGCGCAAAACATACAATATTAGTAGTTGTAAGGCATCTTGCTTTTACTCGTCACAGTTTTATCTAGCCCAATATATATATATTTATATATAAATATTTCTATGAAGAATTCTCATTTTTGTCTTTAAGTTTTTAATGCAGAGTAGTGTTCAAGGAAAGGTAGCTTTTGCATAAAGTGGAGGTTCTTACTGAAAATTCTTCAAGTTTTCGAATCTATCTTATATACAGATAATAAATTATCATGTGTTACAAGATAACACACACTGTTCAATAAATATTAGCAGATTATAACCATTTTTAGCAGTTTTATATCTAGGAATATATTGGAGTAAGCGGTCGAAATTGTGGGTCTAATGATGGAACTGACATTAGCGGCATCCACCGGTTCCAGAGCACATAATATCCAAGCGCGCCTGATGTAATCGGTAAAACAAGTAGAAAGTCTGTGCTCGAAAAATCTCTTCTCATCATCTCGAATGATCGGCCTTAAACCCGGGTGTAGACATTCAAAAAAATCAAATCTCTATGTAGTTAAAATGTCGTCAAATGAATGGATTCCTGAACGGTTTACGTCATACGTCGAGTATGACCTGATAAGTATTTGGTGGTGACGGTATATTGAAATTAAATCGAGCAGCAATAGTCAGGGCATACCAGATGCATTAGATGAGCATTGTAATCTATCTACGGCACATCTAAATCACATTTTGTTCCGAGAATTAAGCTGTAGTTATGTAAGGGTCGCGTTGATTCAAGTTGTTCAGGGCTATTGGACTACTGAGACGTCCTACTTTAATGAACACAAATATTTAAAGTTAAATAGTAGATGTCTGCACAATATCGCTTCATGACGACATATAATAATATTTCAGAATCGTTTTAAAATTTTATCCTCAATCAATAGCAAATCCCAGGGGTTAGCTATATCGGGAGTTAAAAATTGTCTCGTTTTGAGATAGTTCGCGCTTTTTGGCTCGAACACGATTCTCGAAAGTTAGCCAGTTGTACGCAGGTACTACAACATATGATTGAAAGACTAGCGACAAGACATACCAAGCCATCGAACTCGCTTTCACATCATTTGTACATGTAACACAAAATTTGTTTTTTCAATTACTTTATATATTCAAATCCGCACTTACTTTGAATTCTTTGTAAATTTTCACCGCACTTTTATTCAATGTGTGAATTCCCAGAAGTAAACATCAAGGCGTCAAAAGAAAGAAGAAGTTTCCATAAACAGACACCTTCACGTGATATAAATAAACATGGACATCACCAATGAGTTTCCAGACCAGGCTTTCGTTGCTGAGGTAAAGAGTTTTGTTTTTGTTGGTTGTCGTTACCTTATCTCGATATGTAGGATACTGTTTGTACCGTTGAGCGCATACAAACTATAGATATATAGGGTCGGTGACAAATTCTTTTAGAATTGCAAAAGGAATTTATCGATACCATATATTGTTTTGGCCCTCACAGATGTATTAAATGAAGTAAAAATACTTAAACAATTGCTGATTAAAAAACAACAAACGTGGTTAAGATATATTGATAACTGACTTTATAACAAAATAAAAATTGTAAAGGAACGTTATGGACACCCTGTAATATATACGTATGTACCATAACGGCAGGAAGGAAGAATACAATTGCTATAGAGAGACTATTCACAATGGAAATGCCTGATCTACGTTTATCAAAATATTCAATATATATTATGCAGTCACACTTTGCTGTCAATGGGCAATGAATGAAATAAGGGCCACTCAAAAAAGATCGAAATGTAGTCGAAAAATTGATTGTATCTCTTTAGTTATAATGACGATTGACTAACTCAGAGTTTTGCAATAAATGAGATTCATAATGATATCGTGATAAGAATTCGTCATTTGCTTGTTTAACTCCTGCTTGGGAGGACAGTTTTCTAGCTATTAAGTTTGTTAATGTTAGAATTCGCCAAAATATCTTATATGGTAGGAAATGCAAAAAGATTCATATTTACCGGTACATCAATTTCAAATTTTAACAAACTGAACGCTGATAGCGATTCGAACATTCGTATCACCCCACTATATTTGCTTACATATAATTATTTGAAGTGTAAAATAATTCAACTGACCATTTGTCTCGAATACAAAGCTGCGAACATCGCAATAACATTTGGCACTGCAAAAAAATCGCTGCGTAGTTTGGAAAAGTGTTGAATTCGACTTTCTAGTTTTCCGCGTGCTAAGTTTTCGCGCATCAAACTGGGAAGTGTAAATCAGAAGTTTTAAATTCGTTGTCAGATGTATAAGTACTTCTTGGGTTGTAGGCCTACAACCCTTCCATGGCATATATATATGTGTGATAGTATTCAGGGGGTTCTTGTTTTCTTTTCAGACGTCAGACCACCGCAGCTAAAGACTAACGCTATATTTGGCATTTCAGAAGTTATGCACATCAGTATTGGAATAATGTAAAGCGTATCATTTTAATGTAACTTTCGCAGTGACATACGTATACGTTCTAAAGTACTGCCGTAGTGTATGTGTTAGGGTTAGGCCATAACTTTATTCGGATTTTCCTTATTTTAGTTCTATTACTAGTACGGGGACTGTCTGTGTTAGCCACCCCTGTCCATAGGCTTCAGTCTCATTACACAACTCGATGTAAAGTAAGCAAACAAAATTAATTATCTCCATATTGATACACACACTTCTGAAGCGATAATTGTTTGATTGATTGAAATCGGGGAATCTGTTGTTAGTGAGTTCGAGGCAAAAAGAACCAATTCAAAAAAAATTTTGAATTCCACCATTGTATATATATATATATGAATACGTGTTTTATATTTATCATAGTCTATATCACCGTCTACATCTGTTATAGGAAATGGCTCACGAAGTATATGTCAATGATGGACCTCCATGGGGATTTCGAATATCCGGAGGAGCCGATGTTTACAAACCTATCATCATATCGAGAGTAAGTAGATCTTTGCCAAATTGTATTAATACTTTCAAAGCAGTGAATTCGCAGATATATATCAGCAACAATTCACTTTTTGGACGTATAGGTTGACTTTTGATTTATCTAAACAAATAATTTTGAATAGTTTAAACATTCGTCGTGAATAACGTTCTGCAGTCATTTAGATTAACTAGTTTAGATAATGCCCTATTTGGAGAACACAATAATCCTTGGAGAATTGGTTTTAATGAATTCCTGGGAATATCTTCAGTTAACTTTTTGCGGCAACTATGTTGAATACTAAGTAATTAATATCTAAACTATCATTATGAATATTTTAAATCCTCGCTGTCAGCAACGCTCTGCACTCGCAGACAAATAAATGAACTTAAACGAATCTATGCCTATTTAGAGAAGACAATAATCTTTAGTAAATTGGTTTTACGCTATGAAAATGAATTTGCGAACATATCTCGCGCTCAATGCACTTTTTGGGGCATTTATGTGAATACTAAGTATTTAACATTTAAACCAGGGTGGTCCAAGGTGGTCGGACCCGGGGGCCACAAAGGTATTTTTGCATTGTTCGCGGGAGACAATAGTGTCAAGAATAGGTAAACAGTGCAATACAAAACAAAAAATTTTCACAAGTGGCCCGCGGGCCTGGGTTTGGACCACCTTGTTCTAAACTATTATTTCCACATTCTACTCAATTTTTATATGCCCCATGAGATATGGGTCTTAAATTTATGGTTTTTGTACAATTTTATGAGACCTCCAGTTTCATTTTGACAATTTCATTCTGATCAAGTTTTTTATGTTTAGTTCTGAGCAGACGATCGAAAAATTATTATTCTGTACATATTATTTATTGCACAAACACAACTATATGCAAGTATTCTGTTGTAAATTTACGGATTCGAATTGATTAGTTTAATTCAAACATTTTGCAGTGAAATTATTTGCAATAATAATGTAGTTTTGACATTAATCTCGCCACGTAATAAAGTTCTTACTGGAAAAGGATTTTTCCTGTTTATAGTCCACCCATACTCGATTCCTGTGGATAGAATAGGGTCTATATATTTGTCCCGGGGAGAGGAAAGCCGATAAGGCGGGTTAACCATAAGGTGAACCACGTTCGCTCGTCCGGTACCATTCCATGTCGGGTATGGGATTAGTTAGTTATTTGTTTTCGTAAGCATGGACTTGGTGTTGAAGGAAGCCGTAACCGACGAGTGGTTGTGTGTTTCTGTATTTGATACGTTGCCACATTACGCTTAACGCTATCGTACTTATTCATATACAGTACTAAGTATATCTGGTAACTGTCTTATTTAGGTGACACCAGGATCGCCTGCTTCGAAAGCTGGCTTGAAAGCTAATGACGTCATCGTTCGATTAAATGGGATAGGTTTACAAGATTTGCCGCGACATCAAGTAGAAGAAATGATCGTGAATGCAGATGGGACACTGCGACTAATGATGTAAGCTTCAAAAAATGTGTTTTTTAGACAGGGCAGTAAGATTCTGGCTCAAGTCAAGTTCATTTTTTCCAACCAGTAAAATCAACAACAATCGAACAAAAATTACGAGAAAATGAAAAGTACACAGTTTCACTGGGGGAGGGAATTCGTGGCGAACCAAAGCTGGTTATCGAGCATATGGCATGATATGGAATCTAGTAGAAGTATTACTTATTCTGAGTTTATTATAAATATTGTGCACTCACACTGTTTATGGCGTATATTCACTCGAAAATCCACTTCTGTCGTCTCAATTGCTCATTTCATTTCTGAAAAAAAAATGAAGAAAAAAAACAAATGTAGTAGGATCTCTCTATCACTGAAATTACATTGCTGTTCAACTAATTTTCTGATGATGTACAATCTGTATCGTTCGTCATTCCGAAAAGTGTGATAATGCTACTGCTGTTATGCAAAAATGCACTGTAAACTTCAGTAGGCCTATATGTAATTATTTTTATCATTCTTCATATTAGATCCAGTGGCATTAAGCAATTTCAACACGGAGCACCGACAGCAGCCGACCCAGCCTGGGTGGCGTTGGCCCAAAAGATGGAAAAACCGAGAGAAATCGGGGAAGAAGGTAATCCAACTCAAAAAAGAGATAGTCAATATCGCTCATAAAATCACACCATATCACAGTAATATTTCATTTTCAATAAACTTGATATACCTTATATTGTTGATTGTAATGCCGATAGGATTGTATCTTTCAATATGCTTTTGTATTCAAAGCACATCCTTCTCTGCTTACCATTGAAAGAAATTCGTCATTACATGTAGTAATGATGTAATAATTAATGCAAAAATATGATTCAGTTCTAAATTCAAACGTTCGTGTTATACCCTTGGAATCCATTTTCAGATTCTAATGAAAGCTCACAAGCGAGTTTCTCACTCCGATTAAGCTTACTTGAAAAATTATATTTTCAACATAACCAATTGCGAAATATATATTTATTTTACTTTAGCCGCGGAAGGAGGACTCGTCACAATCGGAAAACAATTTGGTGGAGTAGATAAGCACCCAGTGCATGTGACGAGTTCAACTCCTTCTATATTTGAAGCTAGACGAAACCCACAGGCAATGCCACCAAATGCTGTCATTCCGGATATCCGGGTTGTACCCGACACGAATCGATGCCAAGAGTGCCAAAAAGCATTGGGGTGAGTGCAACCATATAATCACAAATCACAGTGGTTCCCAATCTTTTTGTTAAATTCCCCTCTTCGCAGTTTTGGAACTATTTATCACTTCCTCATTATGCATAATAAGTACTTATTCAACTTCTAATGGATTTTTATAGTGGCTAGTGTTATTCGCAAGTCACATTCCCACTTTTTGTTCATAAGTATGTATTATAGTAATAATAAGGAACAAAACGACAATAGGCAAATACAAAGCGAAATTCATCCCAAGATTCTCCCCGGTCGGTTAACGTGGACATATTAAATCGCATTAATTGTACTTTTTAAACGTTTTTTTTTTTATCAGAAAGGAATATACCACAGTTAGTGGATTGAATTTCCATCCTCGCTGTTTCCATTGCGCTGCACCAAACTGCCAAGGACGACTAGATCGTGGATTTATTATTGAAGGAGATCGACCTTACTGTGCTGATTGCCACGATAAATATTTTGCAAGACCATGTGCAAGATGTGGGAGAGCAATCGTCGGGGTGAATGCGATTTCTTTTCATTGATTATTTTTGAAAATATATAGCAATCTAGTCGTTTGCTTTTAAGGCGTAATTTCGTTATCATCTCGAAAGATAGGAAATTATGTCATGTTGTTTAATCGTATATATGACCTCTTTTCAGTTTACTAAGTTTTATATAAAAACAACGGCGCTCCAGAAGTATGTGTACTAATATGGAGGTAACTAATTTTGTTCGCCTACTTTACATCAAGTTGTATAAAAGGAATGAAACACATGTACAGGGGGTATATTCACTTGGCTAACACAAACAGTCCCGGACCTCGTAATAGAACTAATAAATAAATTGATTTGCTTGGGGGAGGTGGAAAAAGTCAATCAGCGGGTATGAAAAACCACTAGTGGCAATTAGAATTTCGATAATCATCTCACTCGCAGATAGCCTGCTTTGCTCTAACATTTATGATCAGTGAATTATCTTGCATCCGTGCATTCATATTCACTATACGCGGCGCATTTAAGTGATTATTGAAATTTTTTTGAGTAAACTGGACTGTATTTTATATTTCTCAAACAGCAAGTATATCACGCGCTCAACCACCAATGGCATCTTGACTGTTTTAAATGTTTCAAATGTGGACAACCATTCTTGGATGGAATATTTTACATGGAAGAGGGGAAGCTATACTGTGACACCGGTAGGAAAATCTTGTTTCAAATTGTATATTGTTACATACATCCATTTTGTTGATTTAACCCGAGTTAATATGAACTTAAATCTTAATTCTATTATTCAATATCTTTATTTGGGAATTTTTCAAGTCATTCAAGAGTCCTGTTGCGCACACTAACAGAAATACATTTCTGTAACGTTTTGTCGGTCCAAGGTTAGACTTTCCCAGACGAAACATTACAGAAATATATTTGATTTAATGTGCAACAGGACTCTTGAATTGCATAGAATAGTTATCTCCACTACTGCTACAGCATCTTCGAATTACATGCATTTGAATTCACCGGCGCGAAAGCATAGAATAGTGATGAGTAGTTAGTTCCGCCGAAACTCTATCGATAACACAAGCAATTCTATGTCGCGTATGTCGCTCAAGATCTCAGTCCGGCGACTTGTTCAGATTTTTGTACAATGGAAAATTCTTAAACCAAACTGAAATAAAATGCCTATTTTCCCTCTCTTGAATACGGATTGATCCTTTTGAAATAAGAGAAATATATTTTTTGCAATAGTTTGAATCTAGTCCATGTTATGAATTATCCAAACCGACCTATTCATTAATCGCTTATGAGACCATCAGCTGTTGCGTGAAATACCGCAAATGTCCCCTGAGACTCGATTCCGAGTTTTAATAAACATTGTAGTAAGACCATACACGTAAAATTCACCTATTTCTATTGTAATTGTCAGTTTAAATATTGGCTCGTTGTGAAAATATTAACGCTGCAAATAGCTAATTTAAAGATATACATCAGTACCAGAACTGAAATAATGCATGCTACCTATGGGTTGTATGGATATATATATATAATGTAGATTTTTCTTGCGGCCTCGTACGTCCATATTTTACTATTAAGGTAATGTAAAATGCCTTGCTATACCAACTGTACTTCACAACACTTTTTTCTTTTCAAACATTACAGATAATAATCGAAAAATTAACCGATTTTTTTTGTCACATCATGTAAATTACTCCAGTTCGACGACTCAGAGAGGATAGGACCAGTAGTGGGATTTAGTCGGTTCGCACCGGTTCTATAAAACCGTCTCCCGGAATTTTATGAGATCAGCGAACCGGTTAGCATTACTGAAAAAAAAACATGACTTTTTGTAACAGAACTGGCTGAAAATATGAAAATACGACAACCGGCTGACAAAATTGAATTCCACCACTGGAAGGGAATCTCTGTGATCTTTTATTTTAACGCTGAAATTAATCAAAACCTACTTTACAGACTACAAGAAACTTTTTTCGTCCGCATGTGATACCTGTGGTAGTGATCTTGGGCCGGGGGACAAAGTTGTAACAGTTGGACCGCGACGTTGGCACGATCGATGCTTCAAATGCCAGGTACGAGTAGATTAACATGCATTGCACCTCTGTCTCTTTCTTATAGTTTACCTGTGATATAGCACACCATGCTGGGCGTTAGGAATACGCTTGTCTCACCTATAATAATTACTCTGCGTGGGCTTGTAGGTTCTAGTCACGTGGGAGGTAGTTATGGGCAAGAGGATTGTTGGACTTCTTGCCGCCGAAGTGTAGTTCTTATATTGTCACGTATGGCTATTATGCTCGATTACGGCTTTCTCCACGGTCAAGTTCATGCATTTTAAACAACTACCTGGTTAACTAATTTCATACCCGATAAAGACTACTAAATGGACGTGGTCGTTGCCATAGGATTAATGATTAGTTTCGCTATACAGTTTATTTATATTTGTCCTTTCAGAGATGCAGCGCTGGCCTTCAAGGAAAGAAATTTGTGCGAAAGAACAGTTTGCCAATGTGTCAAAATTGCGCAGTGGCCGTTAAATAGATGGTCTTCTGATGTATTTGATCGCCGTCACAGCATAAAGCACAGAGCTATCATATGTCGTTTATATATTTTATTCTATTTTATTTTTAAATTGTATCGTACTAGATGTGGATAATGTGATTTATTTTACTCATTTGCTGTATGGCAATCTTTCTGCTCCGTTAGCATCATTATACGTATTTAATACACGTTAGGTCACCACTTCATACTTCAAGAAGAAAAACTTTCAGACTTCAACCTCCAAGTGCTGAAAGTTTAAGAAATTCGACCAACGACAATATTAAAATCCAGAGCCGTGCTAACTAAAATGAGAACATTATTTAAGCTGTATGGCTCTGGAGTAGTTTTACGGATATAGCTTTCTCAATAACGTCAAACAACAATACAACTTGGCCCAATGAAAACAGATTTTGCTTTGATATCAATCGTTCACAGTGTATATATTTTAAATGGTATTTATATCGATTGTTCAGTAAGTGCTATTTTACGAAGCCTTCAATATATATAACAGTGGTTCCCAACCGGGAGCCCATGCCTCCTCCCCACGAGGGCCAACGAGCAGTGGGAAGGGGCCACAATGCTAGGCGCATAACTGATTTTTGATTCTCACAAACAAGAGACCTCCCTGTTGTTCCTAGTTTCAATGCTTGATGAAGTTATTGGTTATTTCCCAGGTTGTTTTCATGAATTGTTAGGCATGAAGTGTCCAACCATAGTAAGCTTTGTAATCGATAAATCAAAATAACACTATAAATACTACTGGAATGATAAACAGCCTCCGTAAAGGAGGCCACGATCCTTAAAAGGTTGGGAACCACTGATATATATATATATACACTATATACTAACACAAATTAAGCATGTAAATAAATGTGAAGTTTTATAAAAAATTGCCTTGACGGAAAAACTACCATATTATTTTGCTGGCTACATTACATTGAACCCACGTACATTTGAACCCGTAATTTACACCCACGACAATTGCACCTGCATACTATTGCACCTACGGATATTTGACCCATACTAACCCTAACCCATGGATTTTAGCACCCGCATATAGATTGAACCCGCGGATATACGAGTGCAAATGTATGGGTTCAAATGTACATGGGTGCAAATGTGCTGTCACCTATTTTGCTATATATCCAAAATCAAGACGAGCTTAGGAAACGTGCTTGGAGACTTAGCGTGAACCCCCACGTACGCTTGTAAACCAACCAAGTGTGTAATTAATGATATTAAAAATGTATGATATATATACAATATATCGTTATTGTTGTTAAATGTGACTGTTCATTACAAAGAATAAGATAGGATTTATATATTTATACTGGGGATGAAGAAAGTCGATTCGACAGCTTAATCACTAGGCAAGCCACGGTCTTTCGTCCGGATACCAGGCCATTTACTTTACTTTAGCTAAGGTTAATTTTGAGACCAGAATATTTATTGAACGATCCCGGGAACCCACTCAACACTTTTCTTTCTCACTTTCACTCACTGTTTCCTCAAATTTTCGTGAAAATAGCTGGACACAAATCTCGTATTGATAAATTACAGCGAACATTCGCCACATATTTGAGCGAGAACACTTCCGACTACTCACGAACTTTCATATTTGCATATATGAAATTAGCATGTATATCGAAATGAATACAACTCTCTTGAATGATGGAATTTCTTTATTGCGGAGACTGTAAATATAAATTTTGCATAATAATCGTATAAACTGTGGGAAATGATCCCAAATACATTTTCGCTTATAGGTAGCCCCATTTTGAAACACCTTGTGCCAATTTTCTGTGTCGGAATTAAAATATCTAAATAGTCTAATGGCAATATTCACATTAGGATTAGGTTACTTTCTGGATTTGGTTCGGCGTTAAATAACACCTTGATACTGATAAAATTTGATTCAATTTTGTATCTTGTAAACGGAGGCATGAAGTGCGAAGAACCACGTTTTGAAGACATGCCATACTTTGTCATGAGAGTCGACTGTAATTCATCCAATGCGATTGACTAGTGTTTCAGAGGCTGGGCAGTTTTACAAGTGCCTGATTAGAAAAACTATTTGATATACTCACCTAAAACGATTTTTCTCGTTTGTATTTTAGGAAAAATTATAATATTCAAATATCTAATAACTTGTGAAAGTGATTTCGGTATCTAATTAACATTAATTTCGAGATTTTCCAAATGATGGGAACAACTTTTTTTTTTCAGTTTTTTGAAAATAAACAAAAAAATGAGCAAAACGATTTTTTTATTGCTTTAAAATATCGCGGGCAAAACCACTGCAATCGAAACAAAAAATATGAAAACATCGAAAAAAAATAACACTTGGAACAAAAATGATACAGTTTTAGCGAATTTAGCGACAAATCATCCATATATGAGACATCATTCGATAGTACAGACTGCATTGCCTTTATGAGACATAATTTTAAAATAACGAATAAAAGCATTTTCAATGATGACGTCATATATCAATGGCGTATTCAGTTTTTTTACTACAACTGACAATTTATTGATTCATTGCCACCAAGCACTTTAATTTCGAAAACATCAAAAACAAAATTATAAAGAAAACGCAATAAAAAAAATGAACGTTAAAAGTTTGAGCAATTTTCCGATAAAGAAGGCGGGACTATCGTTACTGGAGCGTACGATTGAACACGTGATTTTGCGTGAGTGGTGGACGGAGTCAAGAACGCAAATGCGTCGGATGGTAAAATATTCTTAGGTCCTTTCGGTGGGATATCTGTCGTAGGTGATGACGTCATAAAATGAGTTGATGACGTTATAGGTGATGGAATATCGTTGACAAAAACTTGGCAAGTTGATAAATGATGAGAATTCGAATCTTCAGATGCTGACGAATAGGAGGATGTATCGCTGTTATGACGTAACAAAGGTAACGACATAGACTTGAAAGATGTTTTCGATCGAGTGCTGGGTGATTTTGACTGTAAAATTAATAAAAGGCATTTTAAATTGTGTTTATTCAACGAATATCTTTCGCCCGCGAAGCCCGATGTCAAAATTCATGAATGCATGCCTAAAATAGTACCGGATGTACCGTATTTCCGGGCCACAAGGCGTACTTCATTTCTTTTTTTCGTGCTATAAGAAGAACGTTTTTTAAATCGTACTGGTTTTGAGTGCGTAGGAAATAAAGTATAAATCCATATCTGATCGATACATTATGCGCACCGGTTTGAAAAGCGCACAATAGATTTTTGAAAAAAAAAAATAATAATTTAAGGTGCGGCCTAGGGTCCCGTACATTACGGTATACCAAGATTTTAAAGGAAAACCTACCCGGCGATGTGGAGAGGACCATCTCCGCTGTGACTGTTGTAATCTGTCTAATAATTCGTCATTGGTATCTTCTATGGACTGGGCCTGAGCTTCATACATTCGAAGTAGATCTGCGTATTGTTTTCTCTGAATTGCATGTTGACGATGAAATGTGGCAACTCCTCTACAAGCGAGGTTTAGATCTTCCTGCATTTTTATCTGAAAATAAAGTAAACAGTTGTAATATTAGAATTAGAATACAAATTCAAACGACTTGTTCACGTTCAGTATTTTTAGGATAAATCAGGAAGTTGAGTGCGAGTCGAACTCGTAATTTTAAGACTATGGAAAACGCAGAATTGGAGTCAAACGTAACTTAAATCAATAAAATCTTATAGAAATCGAATGATCCACAGTCAGAATTCTTATAACTCGTAGTCGAGAGAAGTTGGGGTCAAAATGTTTGTGGTGTGAGAACTATTCCAAAAAAATAACGCAACGCCAGTTTCATTACAACAATTTTTGGCGCTCCCGTAGTCTGTGCACCACGATGGCGCACAACCTGAACCTGATACACATACTATGTTTAGGCTGTGCCATCTTTGTGCACATACTACGGGAGCACCCAATTTTTAAATATGTTTCCACGTGGAGCCGAAGCCGAAATGAAGTTTGTTTTTATCCTTTTGCCTAAATAATTAGTTTTACCTACTAATCTTAGATCTAAAACAATGTCAGCTCCTAATTTTCCAACAGTAAATAATATAGGAATTCTCACCATATTTTCCTCTGCATCCCTCAATCTATTTCCCACCTCTTCCTTTTGTTTCAGTAACTTTTCATTGTCGCTTTTCAGTTCTTCAAGAAGGGATTCAGACTTCTCATATTTCTGTTAATAATAATTTTGAGTTATATTTTGCACTCCAGAAGTATGTGTACCAATATGGAGGTAACTAACTTTGTTCCCCTACTTTACATCAAGTTGTGTAAAGGGATTGAAACCTATGCGCAGGGGGATATATTCACTTGGCTAACACAGACAGTCACCGAACTCGTAATAGAACTAAAATAAGGAAAATCGGAATAAAATTATGGCCTAATCCCAACCTGGTACACACATTACATGATTACCCTTTTTTTATTTAAAGTGAAGTGAGAAAAGGGAATGGTATAGACAAAATATTCGGCACTTCTAGTACTTCTTGAATATTGCCAATACATATTAGAAATGCTTCACCAACCTCCACAAGATCGTTGTATTCACTGTTCTTCCTGTTCATAGATTCCTGTTCGTATTCTTTTATTTTAATTTGGGCAATACTGAGTTCTTCTGTCAGTCCACGGATTTCAGACTGGATGTAAATTAAATAAATAAGATATTTTAATAAATATGATAAGAGACAATTGTACGATGATAGATAAATATAGATTAACAGGATACATTGAAAGTGAGATTCTTCATAAATATATTATTTCGATGCATTCCTTCAACTTTGATTAGTAACTAGATGAAACTCTAATATCCGCTGTACTACTACTTCAGTCATCGATTATTCTAATATAAATACTGAAGGATACCTCGAAACTAAGGTATTTTGCAGTGATAAGATAAGGCGTTGAAGCAATTGAATGTAATTTTAAGTTACTAAACACGTTATCTGATATATTATAAGGCTGTATCAGTAAGTACCTTGTATTTATCCTCCAATTCCTCGTTCCTGTAATCAAATTTCGATTCTGCGCTTTCAATCCGCTCTTCTTGTTCTTGCAATTGCGACATCAAGTGATCAATTGTACTTTCCTGTTTGCTCCTTTCTGCTCTTTCGTGTTCAAATTTTGCTCGATAATGACTGAATAAAAATATACAAAGATTGCGATTAGATTTAACGAAATCAACAAAAATATTTAAAATTAAAAGTTTTAGTGTGTTTAATAAACCAAGGCGAAACTTGGATAATATAATATATAATACATATAATAATATTAGGAAACAAACTTAACCAATTCGGTCTATTACTATGTTACTTACTTTATTCCTCTTTTATATAAAATCAACGCTGCTCTTTGAATAATATTTTGGTCAACTTCCATGTCCAATACTTCTGATAAAGCTTCAATCGATACGGATTGTTCTGAATGAAGAAAAATACTAGGACATTAGTGAAACGGCATAAAGGAGAATTTTTCCCAGTGGGAGTGATATAATGTAGGATGATCTTAGTTGGAACCTATTCTATTACCTCCAGCCTGTCGACTATTCATACCACAAAAACAAGTGTCAGTCGGAGGGTAACAAATATATAATGTATATATTGTTCTTTTTGTTCCCCTTTGTTAACAGTTTGTCGAAAACAAAATACCACCGAATCCGTTGCCATAAATAAGTTCAAAATAACATAGAGGGAGTATTGAATTTTTTCTGCCATATAACATAAGTACACATATCATGAATGTACAAATACATAAGAAAAATTGGTGTCTAAATCCAACAATACAAATTCAAACATAATCTCACGACTTTGGCAATATGGCGCAGTCACGTTTTATCAACAGGTACTCGATACCTTTCGCCGCTGATAGTGATGAAGTGAAAGTATAACAATGACGAGAAATATACAGACACGTGCGTCTATATATCAAAAAATAGAAGAAATTTCGATTTAAGCAGCATTGTTAGATAAACAATGCTTACTTCGCTCACTTTAAAAATAGAATGTTATTATTTTAAATATTGATAATAAATGGTTGTCATTGATCGAAAATTTCAACACCCAAGCCATGCAGCCGTCAAGAGTTTACCGAGACTAAATTTAGGACTTTTCACTCAAAAATGTTATTACCGAAGCAAAAGCCAATATTTGCCGTTTTCATAGTTTTTCATATATTTATTTTTCTAAACTTGGATAAGATTAAAACACACGACAATCGTTTCGCACTATCATAGTGTACTTAGTGGTTTGAGCCTATTTTTATATTTATATTATATATGACGCATTTATATTATTGCACATATTCCGTACTGTAGTAGCAAATTATAAGTATCACAAGTGGCTTTTAGTTCACATATAAACCTGAATAGATGCTCTTAAGTACCAATTCCCTGACATATTTGTGGCCATCGTCAATTATTTTCTATATCAAACATAGGTTATTGCTATAATATAGCTTACATGGTTCGTGTGAAAACGTGTTCAAATATAATAATATAATAATAGTATCTAATTGAGGTGGTTCATCCGTATAAAAAGGCCTTAATTGTAACTAAATGAAAAACGATGTTGCAAAAAACATTTTAAGTTTATTAAATTCCGTATTTAATATTGAAACCCTCGAGCCGCGATATTCGATGATTATGAAACGCGATGCTCCGTATATGCATTAAATTAATTAGTGCCAAATTCATTGATGTTCGGTAATACAACTCAAATATTTACTGCGTTGTTTATTATCATACCTGTTTCCAGGTTCGTCGCCATTAAACACAATTTTAGTGTCGGCAGGTCCTGTCGCCAGTCTCAGCGCAACTAACACCGCGGCAAACAAATGTTTTGTATCCGGATTAATATGTAATTCAGGTTTGTCTGGTATTTTGATAAATATTGACACTGCTGCAATGCAATTCATAGCAATGTAAAACCCAACGAATCTGAGTGCTTTTCAAAATCAGATTTATCGGGCTTGCAACGGGAAACAGATAGGCCGAGTCTTACGGTGTTGATGACTCATTGAGTCTTTCGTGGCCCCTCGTCGACTTGTATTTTGTCTATTTCCTATTTCATATTGCATTTTGGTTTTGCGAGACAAAAGGAACTTTCTGAATCTGATATTATTATGTGCAAATTTGACACATTCAAACCTGTATCAGACGTGGTTACGGCACTCCACACAATGTAGAGAAATACAAACAAACTCACAAATGGAATAAAAAAATGACATACCTGTAGCTGAGAATTGCAAAGCTTCTAACACTGAATTCGGATTTTCTAGTCCTTCGTCTTCCCAATTCTCTCGTAGAGTTTCAAGGGAAACGTATCTGAAAAGAATAAAATATGAGAGTTGATCATTTCGAAAGCCTCGCATACCTTTCAATTGATTTGTATTGAACTATACTTCACAATCGTTATTTAATCATTCTGCTCGTTGGATTATGCAACAGTTCTGCTTGTGGGATTACCGGTTAACACGATAAATAACAACTACTATGTCTCAGTTTACCGTCGTTGAGTAAGATTTGCGATCTTCCGTGTTAATTAATCAAAATTAATTTTTTATAGCAATGAAATCTCAGAACCACTCCTAAACTTGAAAAGAAGTGCATCCTGGCTACTGGTTGCTATTGATGAGTTAAGATTTGGAATAAAAAATTATGACATATACTAACCGTCAATCTTATTTCTTACACAAAGTGTTTTGAATTTTATTCAGAATTTAAAGTCTCTAGGAATCTAATTACGAAAGCGTATACAACAGTTACTTTATTCAATATGGTTTGAGTTTCTGTTTCACAATAATATATGGGACAATGAGTGTAAGTGTTGCCAGTATTTGATAGCTTGTTCAAATAAAGACGTAATTAAAAGTGGGGAAATTAAGCGAAAGTGCGTTTCTAACGCAGGAGATACATTTGGCACCCCTGATAATGCTGTTTGCTAAGTGCGAAAGGAAACTCGCTAGTACTGTTAGTAAGCTGCTGAATTCCGTATCAGTAAAATTGGACATAATTGGAATTGATAACTGAATTAATCTGCTAATATTTGAGATAATTATGTTTACATACGTCTCATTATCTCAGATTATATTTAATAGGTGTCTTAACGAAGTCGTTTCTTATTTTTATAAATTTATATTGTTCGTTTACATTGAAACACATTCACACTGAAAATTGTCTCCAGAAGGAATAAATAACCGAGTAATTAACGCGTATCTCCTCGGCTATTTAAGAGCGTCATCTCTCAACATCTAGCTAACTTAGCATATATCAGATACCGTCGCAATGGGTACTGCTTAGTTAAAAATTTAAGAGCCTAAGAACGTATTTTTGGAAAAACATGGCCGTAAAGAAGGTTTTTTTAATATGATATATATCTTTGAATGCAATTATAAGACGATTGTTAAAAGTAGGTTGCGGACGCTTCCGAATAGACAGAAAAGCGATGCAAAAAATACCAAAAGAAGATCATAAGAAAGTTTGGAGTAAAACAAATTTCTACCTTTCGTTCTCTTCAGTTAAATACGACAACGGCAGTTGATCCAATTTCCTAATACTTGCAGGATGATAATGTGGCAACGGTATAGACCGACTAGACTTCCTTCGTTGTTGTCGAACTCCGGCTGGATTAGAAGCAGCAACCGCTGACGAACGACGTCTTCTCCGACCTCTGTTTATCGCAGCAAGCTGGCGAGGCTCTACTGCAACTACCGTGGGGCATAACGGTGAAGTATCACAGTCGAGGGAAAGACGACCACGAGACTCTGGCGTTCGGGACTCTAGTTGAAGATAAGGTTAATGTGTTAAGACGCATGTTAACAGGATAATTTAAAGAGTTAAGTGGGGGCATTTGAGGTCGAAGATATAAAATTAACGGAGCTCCAGAAGTATGTGCACTAAGATGGCGCACAACCTGAACATAGTATGTGTACCAGGTTGGGGTTCAGGTTGTGCGTCATCTTGGTGCACATACTTCGGAAGCGCCAAATTAACATTCAAGCATAACCGCATATACAACTATGCCTATTCAGAACATATACTAATGGGAACAATTATAAAATGCAGAAGTGATCAAGTCAAACTCTTTTAATTCATCAATACACCCAGTGACTGGTAGGGGCGATCATACGAGCACCGAGTCATAATTACTGTTAAATCTGGAGAGTAATTTTTTTACCTTTCTAATATATCTATCCATAATTGAAGAACAAATTCTGGATTTACAAAGTTATCCAGTTATCCCCACTATTTTCAACATCATCGAACGGTTATAACAATATGCATTTTTCAAATCGCCCCAATTAGCGAACTTTTCTGACTTGTGGTATAAAGAATATTTTTTGACTTGTAGTAACTCACCGTCCGATGAAATCATCGAGGTAGCTGGTGATAAAGTGACGTCACTATGCATAGGTGAAGTTTCTCGAGATTCGACTGCTTTTACTGGCGTGTGGATTACAGTGATTGATTTTGCGCTTGAACTATTGAGATTAAAATGTTTTACGTCATCTGATGGCGTCATATTTTCCTGTTCATCGCGTAAAAACGCGTCTTCGTCTTCTTCCTCTATGACGTCAGATGTTGAAAATACGCAGTCTCTCGCGTAGTCTAATCCCGATAAGTCTTCTGAGTTCGAAATTTCAAATTTCGTATTTATATGTTCATGGCCTGGCTCAATTTGATTTGATTGAGCACAACTTAGAAACACTGACATTTGTTCTGAAAATTCATGAAATTTCACAAATCCATCCTGATCTTCGTCCAGCGCTGCAAAAAGGGCCGAAATGTCTTCACTTTTTGATAAATGTCCCATGCCGAGTTCCGAGCATAAACATCCAAGTTGATTTTCATTCATTGCGTCTGATACTAAATCACCGACAACTCGGTTCCAGACGATTTCAAGTTCTGTTTGCACTTCCTTTACCGTCGTGATATCAGAGTCTGGGTTTTCAACGTTGGAATTAAGATCGCAGACAATTTCTGAGTCGGGATTTGTCCTGAAATGATAAAGATAACAGTTATATCCACATCGATTCAAATTTCGTTGGATGAGACTTCATGGTTAACTGGTGTGCTACATTCATATCAACAGAACTTGATTTTGTGATAAAAATCTAAATTTGGTTATGTCTCGACTTAGAGCATCGATTTTCAACTATTTCGATGGAGCGAAACGTCAATTCTAGAGGTTCGAACAGTTCCTGTACAATTGTCTGAATTGTGGCACTATAAATATATATTAAAAGCAAATTTAATACTGGCAAAATAAAATTATCTTTACAGTGCTGCAGGATCATTTTGTTTTAGTAGTAGTATTATTACGTTTGTGGTGGCGAAAGTGTGACCAAACCTAATTGGTATTTGATCATATATATATTTGAACAATATAATATGTATATGTTAATATAGACTCTCGGATTTTAATAGAAATTTGCAAAACCCCTGGACTGCGGAACTATGAGATGCCGCGGAAATCCGGTCGCAAACCAACGTCTTATACTAATAATGACTACCACGTATTAGAATAATTAGTAATTGCTAACTTCTACTAATCAGCAGGCAAAAAATTGTTAGCAAATTTAAACCAATAACTTCACAATCGGCAACTTCCACAAGGTGTCATATTGAAGCACAGGCATTCATCCATTGACTTAATTATTTAAAAAAAAATTCTGCAGAATTAGAATGACTGTGTTTTGGACCAGTTTTGATTTGGCATCAAATTAACTATGAGTCCATGATCCATGTATAGTATCTTTGGCGCATTATCAGTTTCGCCGCGTACCCTTCATACGAATATCTCTCAACCATTGGTTTATCTTTCAAACACAGAACACGTCATTGGATCTAACAAACATGAGTTTAAAAATATGCTGATCGAATCGCCACCGTAATTTAGTCAGATTTCATAATGAAGTAAGTGTAAATCAAAAATACATGAGACATAACAGTATATGAACTTACCAATCTTCATCTTTTCCCTCTCCTGTGTACTCTTCCTCTTTCATTATAATCGGCGTCGGAGAACCATCGGTGATGAAACTAACTTCGACCGCTTTCCATGGCGAGTTTTCTGGCGAACTTTCTTCCAAGTGGTCAAAGTGTTTCGTATTTTCTACTTGTACTTCCCGCAACACAATTGGTCGATCCGAATCATTGCTGAATGAATAAAACAATATTTAATTTAAATATTTGGGATTAACTGAAGCCGTATCGTAGCGATAAAACAGTTGCAAGCGAGGAACAGCGAGAAAACCCCAATTCGCTTAATATAAAACATAATGAATCCAAAGGCCGTAGACTCTATGAGAGTCAGTGACATTATTTACCGCTAAGTCATTGCATCTAAAATTAGCTTCGAATTCGTTGGTTTTTCAATGTAGAATTTTACTAAATAATAATAAAACATCAACTTACTACACGCTTAGGTACTCGACCGGCATTAAATCTTCCCACTTCATTGTGCAAAACAAATATCCACAATACTTATTATTATAATTTAAACTATATTGTCTCAAGTTAAACAACTATTTAAATGAATGAATAATAAAATCCTCTCGTATATATTGTAAATTTATCTTATCATCAACAACATATGCTTCTGATCAATCTTATCTACCTAATAAAAATAGATAATTTGTTCAAATTGTTGCAACAAAATCATGACGTGATCAAAGAAGAAAGATTGCTAAAAATGAAAGTTTGCAGCACCAATGAAGCCATGAAACGAATGGAAGATTATATCGAAGCGGCGTAAAAAACTCTGATTACAGATTAATAGCTCGTTGTCAAACTTCCTTCAATGAAGAATCATTTCTTATCTGGTCTCACCACATTTCTAGATTATTTTACACGTGCATATAACACATGTTAAAAGAAAATAAGTTAACGAACTGTAATTTTCATTTTGTAATTGACACTTTTGCTATACATTCGCAACTACCGTCATATTCCAAATAGTCACTCTTTTAACTTTCTATTGAAACACTATTATTCCTAAAGCAAACTGTATGCTTTGTACTAACGCGAAACAAAATAAAATGATCAACAAACTTCGTTATCGCTGGTAATGTATGGATTTGAGCGCCACGGGCCGTCGCGACTTATTTCCTAATCACCAATTATCACCAGTAGATAACGGAGACTCTATGTTGGTTATCTATATCCCACAATTTGATTGGGATTGACTCTCAGGAGCATGAGATATCGAAGTATATGCGAAATGATAATTATTTTAATATTAGTCCGAGTATACAATTGCAGAATTGTCGAACTGAAGCATCTTCAATATAGCGTATAATACCGAGAAGTCAACAGAAAGCGTACGAGCATGGGAAACGATAAAACGTTTATTATTTTTGGTCGACTATTTTGAGCTGTGAAACTGTTCTGGTGCCTTCATGCAATCATCAATTTGCCATGGCTTGAAACTTTCATATATTCTTGCTCTTAAATATACATCACATATACCCATACATTACATTTTTCATACGTCAGAACTTTATCTGAAAAATTTGGGATTTGAGAAATCGACAAAAAAAAGAACCAACCTTTTTCTTGTCTTCAATAAATCCATGTCTGGTTGTGATGTCCGACCGTATCGTCGATATTTATTTGGAGAATCTGACTGACTTGAGTTTCGGTTATAATTACAACTTTTATTATTTAACGATTGACCGCTGTAATGATTCTCGTTGTCGGCGTCAGAGTCAAAATATCTTGAATTTTCGGAGTTTAACCGGTTTTCATCGCTATATTCCACAGTGTTATTATTCCAATTATCTTCTTCGCCGTTGATGTAATCGTTCCTCTGCTCGTTACAAATCATTTCATCTACGGAGACGTTTTCTACAAATCCGGCATCTCCGGTTAAAAACCGAATAAGAGTGTCACGAAAGGTTTCATATGATAAAAGTTTTCGAATGTTTGTTTCCGGAAATAAAAATCCTGACAAACTGGTCGCGTGTTCCTAAAACAACAAGAACAAAGTTATACATACGGTAGTTAATAATATCAAGCAAGCAATAATAAATAGCAAAACGCTGATCGCAAATCGGTCGCCTTAAATTCCCCATCAAGAGAAGACTAGCAGGAACATGGTCGGTGCGCACTATATAGTAGAAGTGGCTTTCATTTATATATGAGTGCTCATGTTAAAACACTTCAGATTCACCATAAAACAGGATAAGTGAAAGTATGCTTTTTATTATCAAATGTTCATATAAAGTTCAATATTCTGCCTGTGCTAATTATTGCATATATCTAGAATCCAAAAAGATTCAAAAAGTTTCCACAATCTAAAGTATATTACAACAGACAACTAGAGCTTCCAAACTCTACTTCCTAAGGGATAATGAACTGGATGGTATTTCTAGCAGAACACAGCGCCAGTGAGACTATTTTTTCCCTTCCGATTGCGAGATTACTGAATCACATCAGCTCAATAATGCGAATATTTTTTGTTTAACGTCTAGGATTAATTTATTTATTACTGTGAAAACCAAATAGCCTCACATGACTGATACATCCGGGTCATAAAGCATTATATATTAGTTCAATCGGGTTAAAAATATTATTGTTTGATAATATTATAATCGTTTTATTTTTGGATAATTTAGGGCAAATCGAAGAGACATTTAATGAGTAGTATGTCAATCTCCTAATTGATAGGTTATTCACATTTCGGCGCTCCAGAAGTGTGTGTACTAATATGGAGGTAACTAATTTTGTTCGCCCGCTTCACATCAAGTTGTGTAAATGGACTGAAACCTATGGGAAGGGGATACATTCACTTGGCTAACACAGACAGTCCCCGTACTCGTAATAGAACTAAAATAAGGAAAATCGGAATAGAGTTATGGTCTAACCCTAACCTGGTACACAGTCGCTTATACTATTATGCTTCATACTTATATAGTCACACTATGTAGGGCCATGCTAATTTTCACCGCGTCGTTCGAAGGTAAAAAGAAATAGTGCATTGGCCTCACTATGTTATCAACGCAAACACAGGGCCTCTAGCTCGAACCTATTAATCCTGGTACAACTTAAATTCAGTGGACGTTCCTCGACTCCCCCTGAGTAATCAAACTACTGATTACTGATATAAGAACGACCAATCAAACTGAGTGACGGCTTGTATGAAAACTAGGTTTGCAACAACAACATATGAAATCACCACAAATAAAGCATTCTTGTATCAATTTAACAATAATATACAGCTAGTAAATATAACTTCGATTACTCCGTGATACTTGAAATTTTTCAGCATTGACCGGAGCCCGCGTGGTCGGTAGAATTACCTTTTTCAAACCAGGTGTGACGATTGCAAACCAATTCTGAATTGGATGCAAGTTTATTGCACCAGAATAACCTACCAAAAAGGACACTCAGGAGTTTTACGAGGTCTAATGTTAAACCGCATAATTTTATTCATTCGTGTCTAATAGTAGCACTTCAACAAACAAACGAGACATGACAAGGCGTCTGACCGGCTCAGATGTATTAAAATTAAGTTACAAATGAATATTGGGAGTTTTTGATCCGAATGGTGACGCCAAATGATGAAATACACATGGCTAAATATGCTGTTCAAAAACCTTCAAAACGACTTAACAAATCTTATATAAATACAGCGAGACAGAGATAAACCAAATTTCTAAAAATGCGAGTGGATGCCACGTTTCTCCTTTAAAGCAAATAACACTTGTCATCGATAGATTCCAATCCAATCAAGCGAAAATCCTATTTACACAACGTACCCGTTGTTCACGTGGAAGTTGTTTTAATTATCTAATTTATTACTCTTAGATAAACAGATTAGCTATCGTGGAATGTGTGGAAATTTGATTTGTCCAGAGTAATTACTCGATTCTCTAATTAGCGCAATTAATCAACGTCTGTGTAAATCGTTTTATTGCTTCGTAGCCGCAAACACATGGCCGAGGTGCACTGTGGTCGCAAACACACGGCCATGTTATTTGAAATAAGTATACATCGGGATTCAGCCTTATTAACAACGGCAACAACCAAAAATCATTAATTAAGGACTCTTCTGATTCGATTTAACATTCCGACTATAATCCAGAATTTTCAATTTGTCTAGCAACAAAACTGGACAAATTTAGGATTCAACCATGGCAAATAGATTAAATTGAATAGATATGGTATAACATGAGAATAGAATATGCGTCCCATCAAACTTTGAATGAATAATTTTCACACATTTACCATTTCGAAATGTGTCATTTTATACCAGAACCTCATGTTTATGTATGCTAGGCCACTGCCGTTTGGATGAATGAATTCCACCAAACACGGAGGCATAATACCAAATTTTTGATTTGTGTTGGGACGGAACTTTTTGAAAAAATTCCCGTGAAAATGATATTTGTTCAACCGCTGTTATTTGAAAGGACCTGGGCAAATAAAATATATATGACATATTATGGATAGGAGATGGATCCCATTGAACTTTAAATGAACACATTTACTACTCTTAAATACGGCATTTTATACCCAAATTGCTGTCTATTATTGTCGATATGCTATGTTACTTTTTGAGCAGGATTGATAGCCACCTATTAGAAAAATTCTGCCAAAATAAGATCCGAATACATAATACCATAAATATCATATAATGGTGCATTGGATCAATTTACTGACAGCCATGAAAGATTTCCTCACAATTCAATCAGATAAGATATTTGAATAGAAATTAGCAACCGGTGCGCACCACTGGGCAGCATATTTACATTGCTTTGAAATGTCGAATAAATTATTTAATTTAAAATCTAAATTTAGCTGGAATGCCGCTCCCAGCTCGTTGATGTGCCAAATGTGATTTGTCGTCTCTTAACGAGGGAACTGAACAAGATGAAAGCGCTAATTTTTAAGTAACAAATGATAAAAATTACTCGTTGTTGAACGTCCAACATGTCATTTTATGATGGATTTGACTTACGATAGAAACTATTACAAATAACCAAATCGAGATCACGACGCGCATATCGAGCAGTATACATAGGAATTTTACGGATGACAAAAATTTAGTAAGACTGGAACATGTTCAATGTTATTTCAAGTGTAATAATATAAGTGAATGTTTGACATATTTTCTTTACATGCGTGGCAATGTGTTAGCATTGCACCGCGTAGGCTAAATCGTATACGATGCTTAATAAGCATTTTGAGGATTTAAACTTCGTAAGTCATTTTTCAAACTTTTTCGGCAATATTTCCGCTTCAACTTTTTGATACAACAAACTTCTGTCAGACACATGGTTCTTTTATTTATGGCAAGAAGATGCCTGAGTTTGCCCATATTGTTTTTGAGACCTATTTTGCAGGATTTATCTGCTCAGATCCCCAAATGCAGATTTAATGAAATGGATTATATCCCGGATTGTTTTAAATGCAACCACACTAATCTCTAAATAACTGCATTTTGCTTCTGGGCAACACTTCAGTCACATTCTCTTTGTCACATCTCCCTAACGCTTAAGACGATGCAATGATACAGTAATTTTGTGATTCGGAATGAGCAGATATACCAGATATTCCATTTGTAGTTAGTTTTAAGCTTTATGCACTTTTATTAGAAATTTGAAACAGTCGCCTCCGAAGGCAATAACAATATTCTCATTACCGTATCTAATACACCTTTGAAAGAAATAAGTTTCCGGCCGCTACAAAATAAATTACTCATTATGCGGACCTCCAAAAAGTATGCGCACCAAGATGGCGCACAACCTGAACATAGTAGGTGTGCACCGGTTAGGATTCAGGTTGTGCGACATCTTGGTGCGCATACTTCTGGAACACCCATAATTCTAACCCAGGGGTATGCAACCTTTAATACATGAGGGTCAGATACAAATAACTGGGTGTAACCGCGGGCCTTTATTTAATAGCATACGCTTTCCAGAGGTTGCAGGCACACCAATTGTATTTCTTGATCTTATGACATGTGTTCGGTTTGCATGTATAGAATGTGAACGCGAAGAAAATGGAAATACTCGCACATACTAGATTGAACTAAATTAAAAACTCGTTTTGCGGGCCACACACCATTCGGAAATTGGCACTTTTCCGCGGGCCGCACAATTTTTACATGTGGGCCGCATTTGGCCCGCGGGCCGCAGGTTGCACACCCCTGTTCTAGCCCATCAAGAAACAACAAAACTGGCAGATTTGTCAAGCTTTGTCCAGGCTTGGATTATTCTGTCTGTGAAGTTTTCAAGTACAGACATTGATGTATTATTTTTGACACAATTGCTTTAAAACGCAAAAATCAAAATTTGTTTATACATATCTTACCTGAATTGACAATTTCTTACAAAGTTTTTCAAAATCTTTGGGTGTAAGGAGTCCTAATCCGACAGTATCGCAGGACTCAAACATACTCCGGAGCATTTGATCATAATCATCTCCGGTTTCCATGCTGATTCTTCTCGACTCCTTCATTGATTGCGAGTTGTATTGAATGATAGAACAGTTAAGATGAGGTGAATAAATAACGTGATGGGATGATGAAATAACTTAAACACAAATGCACATTTCTAATATCTTTATAATAGCATAGATAGATCCTGTTAAATGAATAAAACACATTGTTAAAATATTTCAAATAAATTCGGGCTTGTACTATTTGGATCTCATCCAAAACAAGAATGTTTTGTTCTTATTACTTTCTTCTGTCGTATGTCTGCTAGTTCAGTATTCTTTAATTCACTACCCCATAGCCGTCTTCCTGGTTGTATTAACCTAAACTGCTTCAAGTCGAGCGCTAATCGCTCGCTTTACAAACGCATAATTTTACGTTATAATTCTTTATCATAATCTCAAAAGCACTTTCTTAATATAAAGGCGCTCTAGTGTACACTATCGTGTGTGTGATTATGTATGTGTAAATTTATTGCACCTCACTATCCTCGCGAATTCTTTCAGTCCGGTAATATATGCGAACCAAATAATGAGTCTGATATTAAGATATTGAAATGATCCGTTATGTACGGCGCACGAAAAATATACTGAAATATAAAATATACAGTGACTTCTCTTCTTTATACCTATGTTTTGACTGCTACTGAATATATGCAATACAACGCCGAGTAAATATGTTTTTATTTCTAACCAATAGTCCTCGGTTTTTCATTTGATCCGAGAGAGATTTGCCGTCAATGTCAGCTGCTACGACAACATGTATTATCGCTCACAAACCAAAAACTTCTGAATATTAAAATACTTAAATTACTGAACTGCAAGACTTTTTCTCGTGGGACGCAAACAATGCAGCCGCAAGAATTTAGCCTATCGCTCCAGACAGCCGCGTTGCGATGTCGCGCAAAAGATACAAACAAAGTAATTTACATCTGAAAGATGACACCCCGATCAATGGAGTTATAATTATTGGTGTCAAGTAGCAATTATAATTAGCAAATTTGTTGATAGAGGTTCAACCGATGTGTTCGAATGAAAAAATGAACTGGTACGGGTAGTCTCACAACAACTAAATACAAGAAGAGGGATATTTTCATCGATTAACAAACATAGACAACGTCTGACACCAGGTTGGCCATCAGGTCAATTTTTAGCGTCCGTTAAATACTGAAAATGGAACTATCGGTCACTGCAACCTCTCATCTCTTAAAGCTCACATTCAGCCTTCTTATTGCAACTATTTATCCATATGCGTTGCATTATCAAACTATCCTGAAACCGAGGCATATTAGATAAACGTAACTCGCTTTTTTGACTGCCGCGTGTCTGGGGTACATACAAATGAAATTATCTGACTTGCAGGCCTCGTATTCCACGCTCATCTGCAACGCTGCTTGCCGACTACAGACGAACTACCAGAAAAACAGCAGTAAAAAAAATTTATACAATTAATGCTCATTTCAACGCCCTTCAACATTTATCAACTTGTCTAATAACACATTTATAGACGTCGTTTCTGCATATGCAATCCATCACAGCTCATACAGTAATAAAATACGAAACTCATATTCAGTTAAGCCAAATGATATTGAAATGTCAAGCTACATTTACGATATTTTGAACAGTAATGTTAATTTCAATTTCGCGTTTATCTGTGAGATATTGATTTGTTGCATAAATGTTGCAGGTCATCCTGGGTTAATGATTTAATTCTCACCCAAGCTCAAACATATTGATGGATTGTATAACTGTCAGTATCGTTCGTCGCTCATGACTTTCGTCAAAATGCGTTATCAGTCGTTCAAAATGGAACTTTGACTGGTTGGTACTCCCGTAGTGTGTGTACCAAGTTAGTGTTAGGCCATAATTTTATTCCGATTTTCCTTATTTGAGTTCTATTACGGTTCGGGACTGTCTGTTTTAGCCAAGTGAATATACCCCCTGCCTATAGGTTTCAGTCCCTTGACACAACTTGATGTAAAGTAGGCGAATAAAATTAGTTACCTTCATATTGGTACACACACTTCTGGATCGCCGGTAAATTTGTAGTATTTTAGATCGCAATTCTACTGCACCTGAGCGCCTGACGATTTAGGAGTGTTCTAAGTTGCTTTACCAAATTGAAGAATTAACTATGAATATAATTGGTCAAAAATTAACTCCTTGCAGAATCGTTTTTATCAATGTAAAGTGCGGATTCATTTATTCCATTTACGATAAACCACGTTAGGCTGAACTTCTTGCCTTTATTCCTTCCAAAAGATTGCCGGTGGTTGCAATCGATTGGCCGCTACTGAGATAAATATCAATTTATTAAATGTAAACTCCAAAAGAAGCAAAAGCACGTACGTATTTCGTTCTAATACTAAAGCATGAAGATTTCTATAAGGGATTCCCATCACAATGGCCCGCCGAACCTGACTGAACAAAAATAATCTATTCGAAAAGGGCAGAGGCTCCTCTAGAATAACTTCCCGACTCATCTTTGGGGAAAACCACGATTCATTTCATACCATAGAGCCCCAACAGATACTATGTATATCTTGTAGTAGAAGCATCCCGACCTGATATATATCTTAAAAGGCGTTACTCCTATCAATAATTATCAACTTGATAACTTCGCAACAAAACCCTAAATCCTCTTAACCCCGTCTCGAGCATCACTTGAAAATAATGTTGCATAATTTCAGAATAGCAATCGTACTACGTCGTTAGAAATTCATTCTTCAAATGAACATTTCAAGTGCTCTTGGATTTAGATAAGTGACCTTGAAGACGAATCTTGAACGAAATTCAAGTAACATGAGTATCTTCAGAATCTTCCAATCTTGGTTGCGACGTCATTATCATATTACTGAATTGCGCGGGAATTTAGACTTTTTTTGTGGCTGAAGAATAACTAAGATAACTATCTCAGATATATAAGAGCTAAACAACAACACACAAAATCTAGCTCTGATAACGAGTTTAACTGACAACATACCCAAACCTGAGCCTAATATGAAATATAACCATACACCAGTATTACATGTTCTTGTAGATTACGGTTTTTGAGTGGAAATCCTTGGGTGAAACGACTGAATTTACTACCCCCCCCCCAAGCTTGTCACAGATTCAAACGATTCTACCTAAACATAAAAAGGTAATTGCATTGACTACTATTATCACGAAGCACCCTACATCAACTTATTTAGCATTAATAAAAGGGGAACAATCAGCATCTCTCACAAACTAAATTCTCGACTGAAATAATAGAAAGAAGATATTTGCCAACTAATAACCAAAAATTCGGAGTGATATAATAGTCTTGCTGCGCACTGACATAAATATATTTCTGTAGCGTTTCGCTTGGCCTTGAATCACTTAGAATAGTTGCTAGCCCCGCAGTAACCCAATTGATTATAACAAAAGGACCAGAAAGGCACTATTTTGCTCAATTTTACCCAAAAGAAATTCACTAGTTGCTCGCGATTTCAGAAACAGATTTCCACATTCAGTTCCCTAACGAAAATAAAGAAACAATTAAATTTACAACCGACTTGATGAACAAACCCGTTGGCGACATCTAATCCGTGCATCCTTGCATGCATTGAATGGGAAAGCAATAAATCAAAGACGCGCGAAAGTTGTAGCGGAATGCGATTAACAACGTCGCGCTTTATTGTAATTACTAAGACTGTTAAAAAGCGGTAGAAACATTAATGGAATTTCAACACCATTCATTGACCCGTACATCGAAATGTATTTCAGCGGGATAACAACTCTGCTATTTCACCTGTGTATTCAGTGGAATTCGTTATTACATTAATAATGAGATCTTTTGCACAAAGACCCGGCAAAATTACCAAGTTATGGTTTGGGTTAGGAATGCAGATTGGCTGGAAATTCAAATTTGCAAATCATTCCGGACGCTGAAACCAACTGTATAGTTACTAATTTGTTCGCAAAAGATCGTAAAATTGCTCTGACCAAATCTACGAACAAGTAACTACTAAATTATTGAATACCATTTTAAATTATATCTACGACACATAGCAGTCCGCCAGGCCGACTACGCAATATTTTGTATTGTGGCAACAGCAGTAAAATCAACGAAAATCCCATATCATTCATTGCGGCTCTCATTGAAATGGTTTTCAGTGAGATGAAACTCAGATACATGAACCAGGTTTAAGATCCTCTGTACAAAACCCCCGCCGCCATAAACACCCCTGATAACGCTAAAAATAAAAGTATTATCATCCAGTCAGGTTTCGGGTTGGAATTAGGAATGCAATGCAGATTGAGATAAAAATTCAAATTTTCTAACTAATTTTTCTAACCCTAACTAGATAATTACTATTTTGAGCGGTGGCCCTGTCCATGAGGGAGAATCAGGCCAAATATTCCAATCACTAATTTCCTGATCTGGAGATGTAGATTCGAATCACTCGTGGCTATTATTTTCAGAATGGACGCGAATTATTGTAACCGCGCATAGTTAAGTCAGCCATCCTGTCTCCTCTCCTCTCCAGATATAAATTTATCTTATCTATTTACGTAATGATTTTCTGGTCGAGTGCATACCAGTCATAGTCTTCGCTTTTGATCAATTATCGATCGATTTTGAATGTCATGGTTTGCTATGTGAAATGCAGACTCTCCGTGACTAAGGAATCATTGTGTTATAGTTTGAAATTGTTTACTTGTATTAGGTAATCTTACATGACGAGTCTTCATTGATTAACCGTATTTAATCAAGGTGAACAAATAGCATTATTGGTGTCCGTGTATGCATTATTCTAATTGGCGAATCAAAATGATCGCTCAGAATTGAATTGTTTCGACAAAATATTAGTTCTATGCGTGGATAATATAATGAATGGGACTTGTATATTAATCTATACGGATTTATGTATCAACTATTATTAAAATGAAACTTTCCACAAACTGCACCGTTCAGCAGATTTAATATTCTGTATATCTGTTCTAAAATACATAACTGCTACTATATGGAGATCAATATGTCCGTTCAGAGGAAGGATATTCAAGCAAAGTATACATTGCTTTCCAATTCGTATCACCGATATACGCAAATTGTTTCTGCCAACATATAGGATTCTGCCAACAGAAATTTCAGAAAAATATGAATGTAAGAAACTTTGTTACATCAAACCGCAA